GACGCCCTTGCCGCCACCAGACACCTCATCTGCGGCAGCCCTGTATCGTGGAGACAGGGTTAAATCGGCCGTCTTGACTTCCCAGACATAGCGCGGCTCAAACCAGACATCGGGCTGGTCTTTATTGCTGGTAGAATGGGTATAGAAGGGTTTAGGGCGGTCGATAACAATCTCAGAGAGCGTCTTGTGGAGAGTCTCAAGAATAGCTTCCGAGAAACCGGTACCGATGTTGCAAACAGTCTCGTACTTCTCCGTCGAGGGGTTGTAGCAAGCGAGCAGGAAGGCGCCATACCAGCTTGTGCGCTTACCCTTGCCGTAATAGGCCCCCAGGACGACAAGATCCAGAGAGTCGCCCACGCCGGCAAGATAATCTTTCTTGACCTTGAGCCAGTTCTGCGAGCGCTTGGATGGCTCATAGTAGGACTCTGGTCCGTCCAGCATCTTTACCATGAGGCCTTCGCAGCCTTCTTTAACAGAGTCTTCGAGAAGAATTTGGATCTCTTCCAACTCGTTGGTGTTGCCAAACTTGGCGAGTGCAAACTCTCCTTCAACAGGTATGAAGGCTTCATTGAGATGTTCACGACGCTCACGGAAGGATTTGGTCACGAGAGCCTGCGTTTGTTAGTGACGATGCAGTAAGTAGGATTCAAGGAGCTTACCTCGCCGTTCAAGTAGAGGAGATCGAAAGCGAATACGCAGACCTTGACTTTTACGTCCTCGACCTTGACATCTTTCCTCTTTCGCGTCATGAGCTGCTGGAATGGCAACACCTTCTTTTCCACCATGTCCCAAGCAACCGTCTCGCAATCAAGAACGAAGCTTTGGGTGCCTTCCTTGACCCAGGCAGGCAGCTTGGCCAGGATATCAGGGTACTTTTTGGACAAGTCTTCCGAGTTTCGTGAGAAGATGTTTGAAACACCGCGGTCGCTCTTGCCGGCTGTAGGAGCAGCAGTCGCCAGCTCCATTTTTGCGTCGTGAGAGACAAAGTGTATTTGGGCACGCTCGCCGTCGTATTTGTACTCGCATGTGAAGTCCTTGCCTTCAAAACGATCCAGAACTTCTGTGATTGACTTTGTTGGTTTGGCAAGCATAGGCTTGAGTGGTACACCAGGCTGTAGGCGACAGTTCTCTCGTAGGTTCATGATACCGTGTTCAAGCATAGCGGGTATGATGACTTCGTAGCTGGGAAGCTCACTGTAGACGGTCTTTAGCGTGGCTTCGGCCTTTGCCAAGTCTTCAGTCGAGGGCGTCTTGCCCTTCTGTGACATCTCGTGGAAGATCATAGCTTGCGCGACAGCTACCACCACAGTCTTCTCAGCAAGACCCAATCGAAGCTTTCCCTCCAGTGTCCGAACGATGAACTTGGCTTCGCTAGGTCCACCCTTGTCCTTTTCAATGTCAACATGCTTGCCCGAGTTGTGCGCATCAGCTGCCGATAAGAGCTTCTTGATACCGTCCACCTTTCGTCCCTGAGCACCTTGTCCTTCAACAGTAGCAATCCCCATGAGGCCCTTGCGTACGCCTTCTATTGTCAAAGCCTTGGGCTTGAACATGGTAGGCTGTTTGGATCGACTCTTCGCTGCAACAAGTCCAAGATCACCAATCTCGTTCTGGTCGCTCTTGATCTGTTGTAGGTTTCGGCCAGTACTCTCGGAGACAGCCTTCATGATCAGAGACTCACCGATACCAAGCTCGATGCCGGCGTAGTCGGCTGCGAGCTTGTTCACCATGAGCATGACGGTTGGGAGCATGTCAGATGGTGTCAGTCGCAAGACTTGGCGGAGGAAGAGCGAGCAGTGGGCGAGAATCTCCAGACGCTTCGTCGTCATTTCGATCTTCGAGAACGTTGTGCAGAGTGCGGCGTATGGCACTGGCTCACCCGGTTTCCAGTCAGGATATGGGTTCTTGGTGTTGGACGAAAGCGTTGTCTGAACCTTCTTCCTCGCCTTGGTCTTGACCTCTTCTGGCTCCTCCTCGGAGCTCACGATCTCTTCCTCTTCCTTGTTTGAGTCGGCATCATCCTCGGGTACAGGTGACGATTTCGCCTCTTTCTTCTTGCCCTTCGCGACCTTTGCCGGCGCTGACACTTCCTCGTCGTCGTCCTCTGGTGTTGCAGCTTTCGGTTTAGCAGCCGCCTTCTTCGACTTTGCTGGTGCTTTGTCTGCCTTTGGCTTCGCAGCTGCTTTCTTTGGCTTCTCCTTCTCCTGCGCTGGCTTTCTCCGTTGTCGTTTTGTTGGGGGTTCTTCTTCGGATTCCTCCTCCTCCTCTTCTTTTATTTGCCTCTTCCTTCCAGTTTCGGAGGTTGTACTGTCGACTTCCATCGCATCGTCATCCGTCTCTACCTTCTCCTTGGCAGGTGCCCTGACGTCTGCGTCTGAATCGACATCGTTATTCTCTTCTTTCTTCACCTCTTCTGGCGATGACTTAGGTTCCTCTTTGGCCTCTACGTCTTTCTTTGCAGGCTTCGGCCTCGTGGAGAAGGAGAGTTTCGACTGTTGCTTCGCTGCGTCGCCGTTGGGTTTCCCGAAGAACTTTCTGCAGAGACCGTAAGCATTGTCCAATTGGCTCGTAGGAGAAGTCCAATGCCGTCGCCGCACCCTAACGTAGTCTGAGAAGACTTTACATACCCGAGAGTGGCCTGCTTCGGAGCCATGGCTACGAAAGTGCGAGTGTCGTGTGCGCCACCAGGCTGCTGAGGGTAATTGCGGCGTAGAAAGATGGAAGACGACTGCAACAATCGGATTGAGGGCGCTGACTTTAAATGGAGTCGGGTTGTTGAAGTGCAACAGGCAGCGAAGCGGAAGGGCATGGTGTTCCAGGCGGCAGGCGCGTCCACGGGTATCAAAGCGCGCCTCCTACGCGCTTGCCAAACGCGAACCTCGAGCGAGCAGACCCTTGCTGATATCGCGTTCACGGGAAAACTGAACAAGTGCCTTGCAGCCTACATTAGTGTTGGAAATACACTGCTGTGAGATGCAAAGTCAATGTAGTTCTCTTAGCTTTTCTGTCTATAGTTGTGCTTTGCAGAGGTAGCTGTCCTATTTTCCCTTGGATGGGGTGCTGACATCATTACACGCCATGGACTAGGCGGCATCTCCAGCATTGACATCTGCAACTTTGCAGCTCTACAAAACACCGTGTATACTAATATTAACCGTTTTCAAGCTGGCGAACTACTTCTGGAAACGTTCGGAGCCGTCTACCTCTACCACCCCATCCCAGCCCTCGTCGCCGCCGAAAATGTCGAAACCATCTGCGGCACCTCGCCTCACGCCACAATTTTGCTTCAACCAAACCGCACTGCGAGGTCAGCACTCCCATAGACTTGCTAGCCAGCTCACTAACTAATGCGCAAGTCGGCTGAAACAGACTTCCTCCGCATATCACGCGGTGCAATCGACGACTCCATAACACAGAACCTCAACGCCCTCCTCACACCCGCACAACGAGGCTTCGACCCGACTTCTACAAGCACACGACAGCTACCGTCGCCTGATCACGGTCGGTCGCTACAGCCAGAGCAATGTGAGGGGTTCAAGGAGAAGGTGCTGTTCCCGAGCTGGGCAGTGCGATCAGATGTCTTGGACTACTGCGCGGGTGTTGCGACATCGCCAGACCCAGACGATCCGGACAGTGTACTACGGCAGATCGAAGACGCCAAAGCGAGAGAGAGGACCGTGGATGAGCGATTAGATCCATACTCGGGGCGCTACTTCCCACAGGAGGCGAGGACGGAGAGCTTGGCCATGCTCATGCGCAATGAGAGGGCAGTCGAGAAAATTATACGGATGAGGACGTGGAGTATGCTGGGTGAACGGTGTGGCATTACGAGCGAGTCTGCTGAGGTGGCGTTCGACAAGTGGAGGGACACACCACGGTGATGAGGTGGACTTGTGTAGACGGTGCATAGATACATAATGTGGCAGAGCATATAATCTCATCTCATTGCATATCTAGACGTGGCCATGCGGTCTGAGCAGAGAACGTGATGTGCAGCCAGCTACAGGGCCGTTCCTGCGCCATCGAACGCGGGCAGGGCGATATGCACAGCCAAGTTTAACCCCGATATACCCTACATGTACCTAGGTAGCAATGCATCGCTGATGGTAGCTTGAGCGCACTCTGGTATCGCGTGTCTTTGAAGCATAACGTCTCTCTCAAGTCGCAACGCGTTGAGCTGAGATGCCCCACAAAAACTTCGGAAAGTTCTGCGCAGCATCGTAACATCATGTTTGCGCGATAGACAAGACAGCATCATCTCAGCGACCAGACTCTGATGAGTTGAGCGCCGAAGCCAGAACTGAATCACAAACTGCACATTCACAGACAAGAGGTGTCCCACACCGTCCCACAACTCCAATCCATCTTTTCACGGATAATTGCAATTGGTAAGGATGACGGGCGGATATCGATCTACGGGGCCGGGAACGGAGAACTGTCCACAGAGAAAGGAGGGACAACTCTCAGCATGCCACTTGCGTGGAGCCACGATAATATACATAGGATGTAGATTTCCTAACTGATGATGGAGAAACAGAACGAGGGACGGAGGCGTGCGTGGTTTTGTATGTGGTGCCAAGGAGCTAGAGTGGGGATTAGTCAGCGCTGCGCACAGAGGATTGCAGATTTGGATGGGAAAAGTTCGGTGGTGGGGCGCAAGGCGGGAGAGGTTGGTAGAGTGGATGGTTGGCCGTGCGAGGTGAAAATTCGAGATGGGAGCGCGGATATCAGGCTGCAACGGGATAGCTTGTGTTCACAGTGAAGGTCGAGACTTCAGTGACGCCATTCAAGTTCATCGCATGCGCAGATTCAGCGTAGAGATCAAGGCCCAATCACAGTATGGTTTCACGGCAAAGACAATATTTATGGGTTCATGCATGCATTCAAGCTAGCTAGACCCATTGTTCGTTCCATCGAGATTCCGTAAGATCGTGATTCGTGACAAGCCGTCTTTCGACAGCTCACCACGACATAACCCAGCAGATGTAGCGACCAACTCTCTAGTAGAGGCGCTTGGGGGGGCTCATGGTGGCCTTGATGGTCAAGGAGCCCACGTTCTGCCATCCCTTCTTAAGCAGCGAGACGAGGTAGTTGATGGCCAACATGATGTTACCGATCAGCTCGTCCTCAGTCATGCCAACGTTGCCGATAGCGACACCCATGCACAGAACCTTCTTCAACTGGAACTTGATGGTGGACTTGACTTCGTTCATCTTGTTGGCGAGGTCCTCAGCGTGCGAGACGGGTGTGGGGAACTTTCCGGCCTTGGAGAGACCGGGTCCGAGGAGACGGGGAATCTGCTTGATGAGGGCGTCGGAGGCAACGAAGGCGTCGTACTTCTTCGCGAGCTTCTTGATGAGCTTCTTGTTCTTGTTGAGCTTCTTCAAGTCCTGTGGAACTGTTAGACATGTCTAGCGAAAGACTTCGGGGGATGCTTACATCAGTGCTCATGGCATCGACACCATGGTGCTTGGCACGGTCAATGTCGTGCTGGTCACCGAGAACGCAGATGCTCATGCCTGGAACTTGTTAGCATGCGCTCTCTCATCTGCGCACCGGTATCGACTTACGAGGGCGGGGAAGGGTGGGGAGCTTGATGGTTCCGGAGAAACGCTTGTCACGCTGGGGGTCGTAGTTCTTGAGGCCGATCTGGAGCTCGACGGTCTCGAGGAAGTTCCTCTTCTTGGTCTCGTTGGAATACTCAAGGAGCTGTTGAACGTTCGTACGAACGCCGGCGACAGAGATTTTCGACATGTTGGCTGATGTGTCTCCCAGAGGATATCGTTTCCTTTGGTGGCTCTGTAGCGGTGGTGGTTGAAGAAGAGAGAAAAGTGGCGGCGGATTTGTCGCTTGACTGTGGCCGTTTCGCCGCTAGCGAAGTCCACGCTAGTCCGCTTTGGCCCGACTGATGGCAGTCACTTTCCAAGGTTGACATGGAAAATAACATCTCGCCTTTGCTCATGTTCTCTGCATTCAAATATTGCCGTCAAATTGTGTCTTAAAGGGATACGTCACATGCCATTCCACGCATACCCCAGACGGGTTGCATTGAATACCTTCATGTCACTTTTGGCAGTCACAAAGGATACATCACGACTAGCTTGCCCGAATATCGATGAAGCATGCTTCGCATTACTCGCATGCATGGAAGAAATAAGATATGATACTATACACATGACTTTTCTTCCCAGAATCCGCGCATTGATGAGTGCACTACGCCATGCAATGCCCGAAAACTCCTCGCCATAACCATGAGAGTAAGAAGAACAAAGTCGACAAACAAAAGTTAAAGGAAGTAGCATCTGCCCAAGCACAGTGTTGCTACGGGGTATCCCGTGTGAGAAACCCTAACGCCGTATCCGCCGCACCATTTTCGTAAGCCCAATCCGATCGCAACTGAGGGGTATGTCGTCCACGCGTACTGCCGCGCCAAATGAAGCAAAAGCCGAAGCTAGAAATATACAAAAGGCGAAGGAGAGGTATTCAAGATCATCGAAGGTACCTGTGCCAGATGTGCCAGATGTGCAGAGGAGGTGTTTTGTGCTCCCCCTTGCATGTCTCCTAGTGCATGAGCTGCTGGTTGTTGGCGGCATCGACGACGTTGTCAGAGAGGTTGATCAAGAGTTGAGCAAGACAGCGCTTAGTGGCTGCGTCGTCTCGAAGAACAGAGGAGAAGGTGGCGTCACGGAGAGGCTCTGGTAAGCACTGGCGAAGCGCCTCTCGAGCACGAGCGTTGTCGCTCAAGCTGGCAAAGTTAGTCACAAGTACAAAAGACGGACATGGAGTGTGCATACCGAAGGAAGCACCTGACGACGTGCTTGAGCAGGCGAACAGTTTGCTGCTCCACAAGTTGGTTGACCATGTTGCTGAGTACGGTGCCGACAGCATAAAAGCGCTCGTAGGTCTGACAGATGTAGGCAAGACCGATGTCGTCTAGCAGGATTTTCTGAACGATGAAGATGGCCACTGTCTTGCTGAGCTCCGAGCCAGTCTCCATGATACGCAGGCAAAGCGGGATGATCTCAGTTGTCAAGAGGAAGTTAATAACCTCACTAGAGTCGTTCTTCACCAGAGCGCCAATGACACCGAGAGATGTAAGACGCAGGTATTCGAAAGGCCGCGACTTGGACGTTGTGTTGAGAAACGGGTAGAGGAAGAGCGGGATGTGCGCTGTGAGTGCGTTAGCTACGTCTCCTCGGTGCGATGTCTGACTTACCGCTCAAGAACAGGCCGCGAGTTTCGGTATGCGAAGCGACACACTGGAGAAGCGCAAGAGCGTTGCATACACGGTTAGAAGCAGCAGCGGTCAATTGCGACGGGTTGAGCAGAGGGTAGACGGAGATGATCTCTTGGAGGAGCGAGGCCATGACACCTGGAGTCGTTAGTATCCCGTCGCATTCTCGACAACACGATACGCGTACCGAAAGAGTGCCAGAGGATCAGAGCCAACTCAGGAACTTGCTCTCGCTTCTTGCTCAATTCCAGAAGAGCAGCCTCACGCGTGGCAGGCTTCATGAGCTGGGCTATCCACTCCAAGACGCGCCTGTTCTCCTCTGTCATTCCGATATCGGTGGTCTGGACGTCGTTCGCGGGGCCGCGGGGGACGGCGTTGTTGCCGGGAAGGGTGGTGCCATTGCTGGCGGCGAGTTGTTGGTGGTACTGTCGCTGGGCAGCCGCCTGGACGGCCTGGGCCTGTTGTTGTTGAGCGTGCAGCTGGGCGGCCTGGGCTTGGTGTTGTCCGTGCTGGCCTACATGGTGTTGCGGTTGCTGGTGATGGCCATGGGCTTGAGCTTGAGCGGGCCAGTCGCCGTACTGCTGCTGCTGCTGCTGTTGCGCGAGGAAATGTTGCATTGGCCGCGATTACCGACAGGTTCGTATTGATTGTGGGGTGGAGGTAAGATAACAAGGTTTGCGCGACTTTATATGGTGAGGCGGCGATTGCTTGCGAGATCACGCGGTGGGGAAATCGGACGTGGTGAGTCTGGCAGCACTCGAGAGCACTCATGGAGTCGCGAAACACCCCGCTAGCGCCGGGGCCTTCCACGGTTAGTCAGCTATTTTTGGCGTCATGCTTCTTCAGTAAAGCAACTATCTCTACATTCTTTCACCTCGTACAGAAAAAACGCTGAAAAGGTCTGAAGACTACATTAAGCTGGAACTTGCAAAGGAGGTCACTTGACGCCAACGTAGGCTTCAGGCTGTGCAGTCCTTACCTAGGTTAATGTGCTTTGTAGCAGTGGCGCTGTAACCAAGACTCGTTATAGCACCTGCTCGCCAATGGCTCCATAACTGTCCGAAGACGAGCTGTAACATATGCGTGACGAGTACGGAGCATAGCTCATAGATGGCCCGCCTCTTAGTAGACAATATCCCGAGGAACAGCTTAACCCAGCGGAGATCATCCATTCTAGGACCAAACAATACTATGCATCTTGTAAGACCGACCGCGGAAGGTGCAAGAAACTCAACACAGATCGACCCAGCAAGAGCAAGAAAAAGACCCAAACCTCCTAGAGCCTACATGTACCTTAGATTATCTCCTTTGCATATTTTCATCTTAATGCAAGCTGCAAACCTGTTCAGAGTTTTCCTGGTATAAAGTGATTGTGCGAGTGAATCAGGCGTCGACATCTACAATGAGTTGACAGATCTGTGCTTCTGCTAGACATCCGCGGATCCATCAAAGACGCAAGATCTCAGTGATGAGATTGTCGAACAGTGTAGACGTCGACTTTGTTGTGGTAAGGATTAAGTCGTGACGCAATTGTCGAGGATCCGATATTGGCAGTGGTAGGTATGTAGCGCGTGCTTGGTCGTGCACGTATCTGATCAACGCATCTGCGATACGCGACACAGGTTGTCATGGATTTGACTGTCTGAGACTTCATCTCCTCCTCCTGACAAGACGTTCTGGTACAAGCGATATCGATAGCAACGATGTAGTGCAGATTAACGATGATTCCCAAGAGCCGCAGGGTGGTACCGGTATGTCCGATATATCCTGGCCAAAGGCAGGCGCTTCTGAAGGACTTCAGGGGCTATCTGTACCAAACATGGCAAAAGGTGTCGCACCGGCAATAGAAACGGCCTCATCCTGTCAGCTCCGTCGTCTACCTGTCAACACAGTGCTTGCTAACAAGGAGTTGATGTCTGATCCAGACGGAGGAACCAGCCCACGCTCACCTGCATCCGAACCTATTCCATCACCTCCACCCCCATCGCCGGCGCTGTTGTCCAACAACTGGCGCACAGCAGCTCTTCCACAAGACGCCTCAACAGCACATCCACGCCTCAACTCATCAGATGGGAGGGGCTATCCCAAATGATGAGGGTTCTGATGTCGGAAGACACTGCGGGCGAGCACGTTAATCTGTAAAAAAAACCGAACAGGCCTGCAGCTTACATCAACAGGAAAACATGCAAAGTAGGTGAGCTAACGTCGATGTAGGCTCTAGACCTCTTTAGCTTTTGTCTTGTATGAGGTGCAAGCTCCATCGTGCCTACCTTCTACGATGGCATGCCCGTGTAGTGGTAGACCTGCATGCAGACAGCCTCACCATGGTAAAGCCACTGAGGCAGCTCTGTGTTGCTAGCATTTGCACCGAATTCACAGCAAGGGCCCAGAGCGAACACACTCCACAAGCATAGTCAGAAAGCCAATCAACATTTATGTCACGAGATCCAAAACCATCTCGTGTCATCTACTACTCCCCGCTCTCACCCTACCAAAGAATAACAGAAGAATAAACATATGAAATTCGTGGGTGTCTTCACCCTTAAAACGGTGCTTCCAGCCAAACCAAACCCTCCCCACACTAAAAGAATTACAATTGCACATAACAAAAGCCCCCTCGTAGAAGTGAACCATGCTTACCAATCAATGCCCGCGAAATAATCAAAAGAGAAAACGCCTAAACCCCTTCTTCTTCTTATCTGTACTCGAACTATCATCAATCAAAGTCTTAGCTCTGATAGGATAGTCTGAGCCATATTCTTGTACTGCCATGTACCCCCATCCACTTTCTTAAACTGGATGCCGTGCAGTGTTAGCAAGGGGACCTTGACAATCAGAATTTCAAACACCAGACTCATGCTAGAGCCCATGTCGCTCTGCACCTGCGTCGATGTTTCGCCTGCCGCTAATGCGCGTCTTGGTCGTCGCTCGTCCCGTTCTTCGCTGCCGTCAGACTCGTCGGTATTCGTGTAGCTTTGATCTACAGGCGATGGCCGTGAGCGCGATTTTGGTGTCCCGGGTGCTCGGTGGTTGTCTCGGAACTCATCACGATCTCTGTCGCCACCCATGAAGCCCCCAAAGCTAATCTTTCTCTTGTGCCCTCCACTCGGTGGGGAAGCTGGCGAGTCCATGGGTTTGTTCATGTCAATGCTAGGTGCATGTCGACATCGGAAGCCACCTTTGACTTCGGTCCACTCAACACCCAGCTGGTCGAGCACCCTTATTAGATCATCCTGAATGATGGGAAGGGGCTTGGTGCTTGTCGTTGAGACGCTGAAAAGACCTTTGAGGAACACAGGCTTCACAGCATCTGGACTCCGACTAGCTTCCGCTTGCGCTTCTGCAAGCTCTGCATCTGTCTCTTCGGGTACATTGGCTTCCTTTGCTGCCTCCCTCTTCATCCTCCTCGCTTGAATGCTTTCTCTTCGCGCATGGCCCAGCGATTTCGCTCGGGAAGCTTGCATGGGCCGTGGGCTCGAAGTGAGATCGTCAGAAGCAGCATCGTTGTTTGGTCGAACTT